GTCCACCTCTTCTATCTGTATGGATGAGGAAAATTGCCAGTGCCTCACAATTTAGTCATATAAAGCACCATAGATCTCTGGCCTGTCATCCCTCACATCCCTCACACATATTTAGGGAGGTCACATTACACAATTTAGGCACAAATTCATGAACTTCCACCACCCAAAGATGGATGAAAAGAGTGAACTGAGCCTGGCTTTGAACTTGCCATCCTTCCTGCCTCAGCCTCCGGAACCACTGAGATCACAGCCAGCCATGCACCACCTCGCCTGGCCTTCAAAGAAAGAAGCCTAATGACCTCCAAAACTTGTCCCATTGCCCAGGGCCTGCACTCCCTCTCCCCTTGGGTTTGCACCCTGCTCTATTGTTTGGTTTCCTGAATAAGAAGTCTCTACTCTTTTTGCATGGAGATTCATCTCTAATTTGTCTTTACCTTTGATACCCCCTAATCTTCGGGTACAATCTTAAAACACCTGGCCCATACCCAGGTGCAGCCAGGATGCTGGACTCCATGGCAGGACTGGAACTGAATGTGACATCAATAGGACTGACCTGAGACACAGGCAGGTGCATCAGCTGACCTCCGACAAACACACAGACCTCATTCCTCACCTCTCTGTTACTGATTCCGTGGTTTCTTGTGCTATCAGAAAGAGTCAAACAGAGGCAGAGCAGCACAGGAACAAGGCTTTCTTTCCTTAACTTGAGCACAAGGGAGATGGCACAGAGAAGACAGAAATCCCAGACTGACTCAAACAAAGGGGAAAGATGCAACAAGCTTTGATGCCATCTACAGGATCCACAGGGACCCTGTCTTCTTGATGTCATCATGTGTAGAGGTGAGTTTCAGTTGCACCTGTGCTTTTCCTCATCATGTCTCTCATGCAAACTGTGTCTCGTTATCACCTTTGGACTCCACCATGAGGTGTGACTTTTTACCATGCTAACAAGGCAGAGGTTACTGAAGGGTATTTTAGTGACTAGCCTATGCATGCGCTTGCCCATTACCCACTGGAATTTGCTTCCTATCATCTGAGAAAGTCCCTAATTTGGTTTTGGAGCAGGATAGGTCACTGTTATCAGTGGATCGATTTTAATGATCTTGTTTTTCTGGGCTCTGACTTCCAATATCTCTGCTGACTACATGGTTTTTGAACATTGAGCTGATTTCCCAACCTCCTGTCGCCTAGTGTATTATCTTAATTTTACAGCCAACACACAGTGGCACAAGATAAACATTCCTGTTCCCAAAGGAAGGAATAAGAGAATACCAAGGAATGACTGGACCAAAGCAAGACCAAAACTCAGCAGGGCAAACATTAAATCCTACAGCTCTATGTATGGCATGTAGGCACATGGTGGCATGATGTGAGCTCCAGAGTGCTTGGACAGCACTGCCGAAAACTTGCCCACTGAAGCCCATGTGGCCATTGTCTTGAGTTGGCTTTGCTCCTTGCCTTCAGCTTTCCTTGGCAGGCATTCCATGATCCTGCCATCTTTAACTTCTAGGGTCTCCATTGCAGTTTTGGCGTCACTTAGAGTTTCATGCATTGGCCCCTCAGGGACTTATGACATGGCCTGAGAAATTCAGCTTAAAGGAAGAAAGATTTATTTTTTCCCATAGTTTCAGAGGTTTCAGCCCACAGTTGACTGGCTCCATTGCTTTTGTTCTGAGATGAGAAAGAACATCATGGTGGCAGAAGCTTGTGGCAGAGGAGATTGTTCACCTCCCAGCAGCCAGGAAGCAAAGAAAGACAGAGGGGGCAGAGGGAAGGGGCAGAGACAAAATATACCCTTCAATGGCACACCTACAGTGACCCACCTCTTCCAACTAGGCCCCACTTTTTAAAGTTTCCACCACCCCCCAGTAGTACCATTATCTAGGAACCAAACATTCAACACATGAGCCTTTGAGGGACATTTCAGATCCAGACTCTAACAACTTTCCTCTTGTCTCAAACCTTTTACTTATTTATTTATTGCATACATGACAATAGTGGAATGCATTACATTCTAGGGGGAAAACAATAACACAACAGTCACACAAAGCTGGAAAGAAATGTGAGCAACATGAAAAGATAAGGAAAGAAAGGACCACAAACAATACATGACAATACAACATTAGAAGAGGTAACTTCTACAGCAGAAGGAATGTCAGATAAAGATTTCAGGATATACATAGTTTAGATGTTCTGGAGTCTCAAGGAAGACATTAGACAAAAAATGCAGACAATGAAAGATAACTTTGACAATGAATTACATAAACAAATCCAAGAAGAAAAGATGAACTCTACAGGGAGATAGAGGTGATACAAAAAAACCAAACAGAAATCCTAGAAATGATAAATAAAATTTTAAAAACTCAAATGAGAGTATCACAAGCATTGTAGACCACTTAGAAGATAGAACATCAGACAACGAAGACAAAGTATTTCATCTCGAAAAGAATGTAGACAGCACAGCGAGCCTGATAAGAAACCATGAGCAGAACATCCAATAAATATGGGATAGCATAAAGAGAGACAAAATTTAAGAAGTATTGGGATAGAGGAAGGTATAGAGGTCTAAACCAAAGAAATGAGCAATCTGTTCAATGAAATAATATTAGAAAACTTTCCAGACATGAAGAATGAAATGGAAATTCAAATCCTAGAAGCCTATAGGACACTGAATGTGCAAAATCACCAAGACACATTATAATGAAAATGCCTAACAGAACAAGGAGAGAATTTTAAAAGCCACAAGAGAAAGGAAGAAGATTACATTTAGGTGTAAACCAATTAGTTAATGGCTGATCTTTCAACACACACTCTGAAAGCTAGAAGATCCTGGAACAACATATTTCAAGTGCTGAAAGATAATGGGTTCCAACCAAGAATCTTATATCCAGCAAAATTAAGCTTCAGGTTTGAAGATGAAATAAAAACCTTCCACGATAAATAAAAGTTAAAAGAATTTGCAGCTAGAAAACCGGCACTTCAAAACATCCTTGGCAAAACATTTCATGAAGAGGAAATGAAAAATAACAATGAAAACCAATAGTGGGAGGTAGTACACTAAAGGAAAAACTAATCAAAGAAGAAAATCAAGTCAAGTTAAATAACAAAAATAAACAAATATGGCTGGAAATACAAGCCATATCTCGACAGTAACCCTAAATGTTAATGACTTAAACTCACCAATCAAAAGACATAGACTAGTAGACTGGATTTAAAAAACAGATCCAACAATATTCTGCCTACAGGAGACTCATCTGATAGGAAAAGACATACACAGACTGAAGGTGAAATGTTGGGAAAAGTCAAACCACTCACATGGACCTCGGAAGCAAGCAGGAGTATCCATACTCATATAAAATAAAGTAGACTTCAAGCCAAAGTTAATCAAAAGGGATAAAGAAAGACACCATATACTGATCAAGGGAACCATACACCAACAAGATGTAACAATTATTAATATATACGTCTCAAACATTTATCTCAGGGTTTATGTACTCCCTTTGCACACATGCTCTAACTGTGAACACTTCAACTACTGTCCCATCCTTAGATAGCTTTTGAGAAGTCATTCTGTTATGAGGAGACGCCTCAGAAAGCACTCCAAGTCTGAATTCAAATCAAAAGATAGCTTTATTTACCTGGCCAGGGACTGTGACCCACCACAGAGACTCAAGCTCTACGGGAGGAGAGCAGCTTCCTGGTGTATCCAAAAAGAATATAAGCACAAAACCCAAAACTCAGTGACTTGCTTATCATCATGTAAGCTAGTCAATCATAGAAATTAAAACATTAATAAGTGGGACCTGTGGGCTCTTGGCAGGACTGGAATTTTCCAGTCAGCAAGCAAGTGATAAACAGAAGCCAAAAAAAAAAAAAAGCATTAGCTTTGCAGTTCAGTTGACCACAGTCCTGGGGTTAAGCAGGTGCTAGACAGTCACATCCTGAATTTGGGTGGGGGTCGGTGGGGTAAGAATCTACTTTAAAGTCATGTAGCCCTACAAAGGCATTCGCACCCAGGATATAGCTCACTACCACCACCACTGCATCCTGAGTAGGGTACAATTTGTGGGGCACAAAGTGCAAAAAGACAATTTTTATAAGAAGACAGTTTTCAGTTTCTCAGAAACAGCTCTTGTAACAGTTTTTTATAGAAGGCAGCAAAATGGAGTCTTAGCCTGATTATGACAGTTCTTGATTTATAATTTTCTTATCTCACTTATCAAAATCTTATATCTATAATCTATATTTTTTTGCTAATCTTTAACCTATAACTTATACTTTTATTGATTGTATTTATCAGTTCACACCACAACAACTCAGTTTGATTTAGGTGTCACACTTCCAAAAGGAATTGAATCTCTCAGCATATAGAAGAAAAAAATACTTCATAGATAAAATTAGTTGTTCACTGGGTCAGATACAAATATTCTGAATGTCAGATACAAATAAGCTGAGTGTCACCCTTGTCACTTGCTTCAGAACAACCCAACATTCCTCTTCTGTCTTCTCTTTCATGGGCCTTTCTGGAGATTTTTCCTTTCATCCCTGACCCAACATACAGAAATTCACTGTTCAGCCTACAATCATTTGAAAAGCAAGAAGTTAATGTTTATCAGTTTCCAGCTATAATCAGGCACACTTTCTGTGTCAGTGATACAATAAAATAATCACTCCATTTGGATTTTTTATGAATGATCATCCCATTTGGGTTTTTAGCCTTTGGGAGCAACAAAAATAATGTTTAGTCTGCAAGCATGCTGAGCTTGATGAAGTCTGAACTCGTGTTCAACACTTTCCGTGATAAACACGGTCCAGAAATCTGGTTCCTTCAGGTCTCTAGGGTGCAGTACCCCTTCACCACCTGTAGGTGTAGTCGTGAGAATTACATGGCTCTTACCCAGAATGCTCTGCCCTGGGAGTGAAGTAGCGTTAATCCAATGAAAAGACAAGAGAAAGCAGTCTGATTTTTGGCTGCTGAAAAATAGGGGTGGGACTTCCGGTTTTGCTTTTTTTGGGGCAGTCGCTTTGAGGCTGGTTCACGTGATCACAAGTGCCCGAGCACTGGTAACGGTAAGGCAGCGGCAGAAAATTAGAGAGGAAACGTTCCTATTGCACAAAGGTGAGTTAGAGGTTCTGAGAAGCTGCCCTTGGTGACCTCAGTCAGGGCAGGGCAGGGCTATACATTTGTGGGCATCAACCACATTTGTGGGCATCAACCCACCATGGGCCCAGATTGTAGAGGCATTGCTGTTGGCCCTGGCATGGGTTGGTACTGGTTCCTTTGGACCGTCACCCACTTCCACCTCCTTTTGTATTTTAAAGCTCTAAAATATGGTAGACTGACTGTTCAGGTCACTGAAGCCTAGGCCCTAGTGTCCAGCACCATGTGGTAGCTGGGAGTGTCTTGGGATATGACCCATTTCTGAAAGCCAGTGTGAAGAGTGATATAGAAAGATGAGTCAGTATGTGCAAAGGCTTGGAGGAGCAGCTGAGCCAGGAGCATTTGGGAAACCTTGGGCTCATGTTGTGTCTATGCGGAACAGAGTATGAAGAGAAGTCAAGTCACAGCTGGAATGGCAAGCAAGGAGGTGTATCTTCATGCCAGTGGTGTTTGGAGCCATGGAGAGATGGAAACAAAGGACAAACACCATCTGAGTTAAGAGTTTTAAAGTTTTCCAAAAACTACTTAGAAGAAGGAGTCTGGAAGAAAAGTGAGGATAATAGTAACACAAGGAGATTGAATTGATCAAAGTCACAAAGAAGAGGTATTACTGAGGACCGAGATGCAGGGAAAATAAAGTTAGCCTAACAGATCCAGAACTAGGCACAGATACATTGAAGGCCTGAGCCCTTGTATTTTGCCTGCTTCTTATGGTCTCTCTCTTCCCACAGGTTCCAGTACCCATGGAAGTGCTTATGGACACTACACAAGTGAGTTGACCCTCATTCACCCCAACTCCCCCTGCACACACACATGCGCACATACACACACACACATATCTTTTATGGGAGTGTGGTGCCTTGGGCCTATACCTGCCACTCTCCTTGTCCTTGTGCCTAGGGACTCCTGAAAAATGTTAAGCCCAGGGTCTGGGAACAGGGGGTTTATATGGAACAGTTTCTATGTCTAGCACAATGGAAGGAAGTGTGGAAGGTTGACGCACACAGTTATCAGCAGATGCAGATGCTTGTATGTGACAGTGACTCATGAGTGTTCAGCCACAGTCTCCTTTCCTTCTGGTGAACAGGAGGATAGGAGTCAGACCTAGAATGACAGAGAAGTTGGGTGTTTTTTTTCTAGAAATAATAGGAGCAGAGGCATACAAGCAATGATGTGATGTGACCCAGGTCCTAGAAGGCTCCCTGTGGCTGGAGAATAGACTTAAGGATTAAAGGAGGAGAGGCAGGAAAACCAGGGATAAGGCTGCTGCAGATTACAGGTGACTGCTGGTGACATCTGGAAATGGGAAAAGTAGTTGGATTCTGGATCTGGTTTCTAAGTAGGTCTGACTGTTAGATTTTCTAATGTTGAGGATGAGAGAATAAAAGGGATCAGAGATTACCCCAAGGTTTATGAAAGAAGCAAGGGGAAATAGGTAGTAGAAATAATTTTGAAGGGCATGCAGTTTTATTTTGGCCATCTTAAGAGTTTGAGATGTTCCAGAGATGAGAGGAAAGGTGTCAAGTGGGCAGCTGGACACAAAGGTCTGAAACACTTGGTAGTGTTTCAGGGTAGAGACATCTAAAGGGTAATGGACATTTTGTGGACTGAGGTGAGACTTTGGATCACATTTGGAGGAAGAATCTTCAGTTCATGGTGGTAATACTATAAGTTGACCCAAGAAGGGGAGGGTGGTGGCTTGGATCTCTTGCTTGGGCACCTGGTTGAGAATTGTAGGCCTCACAAGCACAACTGAGGGAGAGAAATGACCATAAAGGGTGGGTGTGGGGAAAGGCTAGCCTGGCAGGTAATCAAGGTTTCTAAGGGAATATTCAACATTCATATGGATTTAGAAGTATAGGCATAATGCGGGGAAGATGATACTGAGGCTGGGGCTTGTCCACAGCTTTATGGACTCATCAAGACTTGTGGATGACCCTGGAATTTTTTACTCAAGCTGCTGGTTTAATTCAAGGGCAAACATGGTCATCTGGTATAGTCACTAGACAGGCAGGTCTGGGGTTTGGATCTAAAGTCTGAATATCATTCTAGATAGTTCAGGTTAATGCAAGAAACAGAGCCAGAAGTCAGGTCTTCATAGTAGGATTTAGAGTTGTCCTGTCAGTAGAACCATTGGAGGTCGGGGTAGTACCAGGGCCTGACCAGATTTTCTAGATACTCTCTGAATGATGTGATAAGTAACACTTGATAAGGCCAGGGAGAGATCTACAGCATGGATCAGGGAAATAGTAACAGTGGGAACTGGAGTTATGAGAGACATACAGTCAAAAGACTGATGTGGCATGGAGAGGGGTATGAACTGAACTTCCCAAAGCCTTATTATTAGAGAATTAAAGATAAAGGATAAGCCCAAGTTTGGTTGTGTTTGGAGATACCATCTGTAGGACTTCCCAGTCACTTCCTGGTCATTGTGGGTGAAGCCCTGCATGACAGCCCAGAAATTAAATGACAACTATCTGCCCACCTGCTTGTTGTTGCTGAGGGCTAGGCACGGTGACTAATGGGGCTATGAGACAGAAGAGTACAACTGGCACCAGGGTCTATCTCCTCTTGAGTTGTGGAAGTTGAAGGGAGCATGAGCATGAGGTGGACATTTAGAAAGGGGAATTGGGGAACCTCAGAAGAGAAATTGTTCATGGTTTCATCTGTTCCAATCATGGCAGAACGATATGACTTTTGAGGATGTGGCTGTGTACTTCTCCTGGGAAGAATGGTGTCTTCTTGATGAGGCTCAGAAACTCCTATACTGTGATGTGATGCTGGAGAACTGTGCACTTATGGTCTCTCTGGGTAAGGTTATCACACTCACCCAATGCCTTGGGATAGGCTCCTTCTTTTCCCCCAGGGACAGAGTCATCCTTTTCACACTACTTCCCTCCCCAGTTTTCTGGGTAGTTTCACTGTTTATAGGGCTGAGCTATTGCACTACCCTATCTTTTTCCCAAGCAGTCCCAATACCTGTTGCCCCAAAGCCTTACAAAGAAGGGGATCAGGAGTCTCACAAGACTGAGATCCCACCTTTCCTTGTTCCTGACCAGGTGACCTCAATGCCACCAATTCTGCTCCCTTTCTGTGGCTGATATATTCCTGTGTCTTCCTGTACCAGGAATTTCAGTCATTGATGGGATCACTATTATATCATCCTCTGTGGTTCTTTTTGTAATATTTGGTTTTCTTCCTTGTGGTCTGTTGCTCTGAGGCACTATGGACACTTATCTGACCAATCTTTCCATGAGATTTGTATCATATAGGTACAGTGCTCAACTGGGGGTGGGGTGGAGGGAAAAGCTGAGTCTTTCTCAGAGTGAACATAATTCTAGATATACCAAATGAGTTCAGAGAAGCCCTGGCCCTGCTGAATAGCAGATTATAGGACATGGCATTGGGTCTGTGTTCAAATCATCCCATCCTAGTAGTGTTCAAACTTTCCACTACTGTTTTGGTGCCAGTATCAGTGCCCACACCTCATTTCTATCTTTCTTTTTCCTTTCTTGACATTTTGCCAGATTGTTACTTCTCCTCTTTTGGCCCAAGGATACTTCCAAAATCTGTGGGTTCCACATCTTAGCTATTCCTATCTACTACCTCTATTCTCCAACATTGGCCCCATGTGCATATATCATTAGATAGCCTCTGAATGTGAATTACCCTATTGGAACAGGACTTTTGGGGAACTAGATTCACCCTTCTCCACAGCCCAAGGGTGAATGTCATCAGCAAATAAGAGGTGCTAAAAACCATTAGCAGAAAGAGAATTTCAGGCCCTACCTCTCTTTGTGCTACACCCCATCCTTGTGACCTTTGCCTGATGAGGCTTTAGAAGGTCATTACTGGACAGCAGCTGATTTCTCCACCTGAACTGTGAAAACAGTCCTATGAACTTACATAGACTCATTCATTGGTGTTCAGATCACATTTGTTGCCCCTTCTCACCTAAGTCAACATGCACTTCATTGGCATTTCTTCACTTTCAGGTCACGGGCATGGATTGAAAGATGAGGAATCACCTTCTGAGCAGAATGTTTCTATAGAGGAAGTGTCACAGGTCAGAACTCCCAAAGAAGGTCCCTTTGCCTAGAAAGCCTACCCCTGTGAAATATGTGCCTTGGCCTTGAAAGACAGGGAAACACATACAAGGCAGACACCATATGCTTATGGGGCCTGTGGAAAACAATTATTTAATATCCTTCAGCAACTATATCACAGCAAAGAGAAACTCTTCAGAAGGTGTGTGGGTAAGTTCTTATTTGTAAAAAGCTACAGATTCCATGTACCAGGGACATCCTTGACCTGAGGGGACATTGGGAAATATGTCTTGATCATTTCAGGTCTTCTCTAGAACCAGGCCACTTACAACAGAAGCCACACAAAGCATCCTGGCCCGAACCAGGCCACTTAAAACAGAAGCCACACAAAGCATCCTGGCCCGAACCAGGCCACTTAAAACAGAAGCCACACAAAGTGGCTGAGGAAAGCAGCCACTCACAGTGAAAAAAAAATTGTTCAAGTGCAGTGAATGCAGAGAGCCTTCAATTGCAAACAGTTTGTTCAGCACCAGCAAGTCCACAGTGGACAAGGATTTTATGAGTGACAAATATGTGAAAGCCATCAACTATAAACCCTTACTTTATAATATCCAAGGGGCCAAACTGGAGAAAGGACTTTGAAGTTCCATGAATGTGGAAAAGCCTTCAGCTGCAAATACATACTTGCTCCTCATCAGTGAATTCATACTGCTGAAAAGTCTTAGTAGTCCATTGAAATGGTGGGAAATTACATAGCTAAGGCTCCAGCTTGATTCAGAAACAAGAGTTCACACTGCAGAAAGACCTCACGAATGCAACAAGTATACAAAACGCTTCAACTGCAACTTGAGACTCATTTGACACCAGGGAGTTCACAGTGGGATAAGGCCTTGTAAAAGCAACAAAAGTGGAAAATTCTTAATTCAAAGCTCCAGACTTATTATAAACCAAATAATTCAAACTGGAGAAAGGCCTTATTCATGCAGTGAGAAAGAGAAATCCTTTAAGTAAAGCTCTAGCCTCATCAAATATCAGAAAGTACACACCAGAGTAAGACCTTCAGAGTGTAGAAATTCTTTTACCAGAGCTTTGGTCCCATTCAACAACATCACAGCATTCACACTGGAAAAAAAAAGACCTTATGCATGTAAGGAATGTGGGGATTTTTAGCCAAAGTACCTTGCATATCCAGCACTGAAGAGTTCACACTAGAGAAAGTCCTCATGATGTACAGAAAATGTGGATAAACTTTCAATTCAAATTATCTTGAGTTGCCTGAAAGCATGTCGGCAGCTAATGTGGGAAATCCTTCAGCCAAACACCAGCAGAAGCAGCTCCATGATGGAGAAAGAAATTGCAAGTCCCATGAATGTAGTAAAGCCTTCAAACATGTTTTGATTTAGAACAAAATATTCACTCAGATAAAGTTTTTGAGCACAGTGAATTAGAAAAGGCTTCACCCAGAGTTCTAATTTCATTCAGCACCAGCACACAGCAGTAAGGCCTTATGAGTTTAGTAAATGTGGAAAAGTTCCCAGCTGAAGTTCTTAGACATACAGGGAATATGCAATCTCCTTACTTAATATAATGACCCTGGAGAAAGGCCTTTGTGAAGACACATCTGTCCAAAACAAACCTTACCCATGTGAACATGCACAGCTCATATTTCCCCATAAGTTTCAAGTTTGTGGAAAGTTTTCAGGAGCTGCCATGCAAGTTCTACCCTGGCCTGATCCCTTGCCAGGTGTGTTGGCAAAAAAAAACTGCTTATTTTTCCTTTAATCTGACTATAGTAAATACAGAAGATTTCTATGGTCCCCAAAGACATGAGGATTTCTACCCCCTCCCCATCAGTCAGTTCTGCAGTGGACATCTGGTGGGTGCCTAACCAAATTCATTTCTGTCCACCTAGAAGTAATGTCAGATCCCACAGATTGAGGGCTCAGGCCCCAAGACTCCCCCCTCCACCCACACAATGTCAGTCAGAAGTCCCAGATGGGTTTACCTATTATTCTGATCAACCGGCTATAAATCAGGGTTTCCATAACCCCCTCCTCAGTTTTCATTATGCTTGAGCAGTTCACAGAACCCAGGGGAATTCATGCTTATGTTTATTGATTTATTATAAAGTACATCACAAAGGGTACAGAAGAAGAAGCTACACAGAACAAGGTATAAGAAAAGAGGTACAGAGCTTCCACACCCTCTCTGACCACAACACACTACAGGAACCTCCATGTGTTCAGCTACCCAAAGCTCTCCAAAACCTGTTCTTTGTATTTTTCATGGAACCTTCATTACATAGACATAATTGCTAATAGACTGAGTAAACCTAACAAGTCCTATTTATTACAAGGCTTATCCAGATTCTTCTTGGTCTCTGAGCATTGCTTACTCCAGGGGCAGGACCCTCTGTAATGAGGGTCTTGTGATCTACTATCAGACAAATCTAGTCAAAGAAATTCTTTATGGCCAGATAGAGGTAGGGGGAAAGTAGTTTTGTGATATACCTAACTTTGGAGATGGAGTTATGAACCAGGAACTGTGGAGGAAAATGAAAATCCATGATGTCATAATACCCATAATACCCCACCAGACCTATATCACCATTGCAGAAGCCATCTCATCTCTACCCACAGGTCTGCACCATGGCCAGTTTCAAGCTGCCAAAATGATGTCACTGAACATATAATTGAGAAGAGATGTGTAGTAGCACATTGTATTTTGTTTCCATTATATTGATGAAATAGCCATAAATAAACCCCAGAATTTAGAAAAGTGTAAAAAACTAACAAATGACAACTATTCAGTTTTAGTAATAACTTTATTGAACTTTATAACAGCTTTATTGGGTTACAATGAACTTAAACTGAACACATTTAAAGCATACATTTTGATGTTTTGATACATGCTTATACTCCTGAAACTAAAAAATAGTCCTTCTTTTAAATAATTTTTAACATTATTGCTACAAGGATATATTTTACCTTTTGTAATAGGTATTTTCAAATATAAGTAAAACTTAAAAAGGGCAAAGCCCCATGAACTAATCCCCAAATTTCCAGTATTTGTCATTCCATGGTCATTCTTTATTCATCTGTGTACATATCTATCACTGGATTATTTATAATCATGGACATCATGTCATTTAATTTGTAAAGTCTTCATAATGCTTTCTAAAATGTAAATGCTGTATAAAACATGAAATAAATGTACTTGAAAATATCAAAATGTTATCAGAGTTCATTTTTCTCAGCTGTTTCAAAAAAATTTTTTTAAGGTAGATGCATTGTGATCAGCATCTAAAATGTATCTGTATTGCTTTTGGTAGACATGTCTCATGGGTGTCTTACCTTATAGTTACCACTTATCATCTATTTAAGTTGCTGGGCATTTGTCCATTAGAATTTGTTGCATTCTAGATTTGGCTTTTTGAATCTTTCTGATGCTAATTAACATACTTACCTTTCTTCTATCTTTCACAAATATTGATGAGATGCATAATTGAGGTCTGCTCTTGGCTGAAAGGTATGTGATGGTGACACACCTGGAAACACATTAGGTGTGACAGTATGTTTTGTTGGCACACTGCAGAACAGTCTGAAAACAATATTTCAAGTACTCAGTCCACTACGTATGTGACAATGGCACTGCAACAAAATCTACGATTGTGCATGTATATCGGTGGGACCCCAGGTGATTGGTTTGTGATATACCTAACTACAACCTAGATATCCAACATATGGTCCCCCAACATACACGCTTGGGACACTGTGTGACAGGTATTGAGACACTCCTCCAAATAGCCAAGACACACACACAGAGAAAGCATATCCAAAAAGGAGAGACATGAAACAGTACAAAACCAATGTCATAACACAAAAAACATCAGGGAGCCATGAGACAGGAGGGAGCTACTGACACCAGCAAGTAGGGTGACACAATACTCTGTGGAGACTTGTGAGAAAGGCACTTGTGGTAGGGATACCCCAAAACCTGGTGTGTAGGTCACATACAAACCATCACAAAGTCCCCATGGGCCAAATATGATGAAGCAGGACTCTGGCTTGAAGAGAACAACATGCCATTCATCCTTGTAAGTTCAGTGATTCACTGTTCAGTGTCAGAACAGGATTCTGGGATGTACATCTCAGCAAGCCTAGAGACTCATGCATAGTTAATAATCAAATGCGAGCACATGAGCACTGGTGGGAAGAAACAGTTGGGTAGCAGAAATGCTGTCTAGGAAGGCTTGGAAGCAGTGGTCTGACTGGGGCAGATTGGCAGGGCTGATTCAAGTTTTACAGGGCAAGTCAGCTTGTGGTCAGCCAGTTTGAGAATGATTGGTCAGCGTTCTGGGGGAGAAAGGAAGTGTCCTTGCAGATTAGTAGCCATTGTTGAGCTATTTGCATTTTACCCAGAGGGAGGAGGTCGAGTGGTCTGAGCTAAGGGCACGTGCAGGAGGGTATGTGGAAGAACGACCACAGGCACCAGGACATACAAGGATGGCATGGGAGACTCTCAGTCCTTAAGGATTTCCAATAGTAGCCACAATATTAACCCTAATAATATTGAGACACAAGAGAGGAGGAGGCCTTTAGTATTTAGAGGATGCCCAGCAAGACATTGGGGATGATGAAATCCTTGTGGCAGTGATGGCCAGGGGTATCCTGTGATTCTGTGGGGGATCCCTGGAGTGGTGTTGCCATCGATGATAGTGTTCCACTGTGGTAGAAGTTTTAGAGGAAGGCTCTATACATTCATGGACTGAGGACTGTCCTCCAAATGATGTCATCCTGCTGGTGGAGATGTCAGGATATGGTTAGTTGACAAGGGCTCAGTGGACAGTCTAAGCTTAGAGTGGGAGTCCCAGCCTTGGTGAGGGCAACAGTATCCTGAAGATAGATGGGACATTTATAGCTCCTGGACTCTTACAGATCTACAGTCTCCCACATCCTTCCCACCCATGTTCTTTCCTCCATCCCAACCCAATCCAGACTACCGGACATAGGAACTTGGA